TATTGTTATGATAATACTTGAGGGGACCTTGTCGGATTCCATGGCAGGCAAGGGTGACCAAGGCAGAGGGACAAGCATGCCAGGCAGTCAGAGCTTAAGTGAGAAGTTTTGTTAGAATGGGAAGGGGAGAAAGGAAAGAGAAGAGAGGTAAAGAGAGACAGAGAGAGGACAGAAGAGAAGAGGGAGACAGGAAAAGTCCTGTCTGACCCAGGGGAATATCAAGAAAGAGTGTAAGTGGGCAGGGTCTTTCTTTTAAAGGGGTCCTTTGCATCTTCGTGCAGACTGCTTAGCCATGGAACCCTGACTGCATCCTTCTCCTCCAAGCTGCAAGCACAAACTCTGGTCTGAGGAGCATCAAGGGGTGTGAGCAGGGATGTAGAGTAGAGATGGCTGAGCAAGTAAAGGTGCTGGCTGCCAAGCATGATCCAGTTCAATTCCCAGAACTCATACAGTTCACAGACTCCAGGGGCCTTCTTCATGTTATAGTGGGAAAATTTCCAAAACCATTGTATCTGTCATGAACGCTGGGGTGTTGGGATTGTTTTTAGGCACACCTAAGCCCTGAGGAAATCTTTTGTATCTGATCAGTAGTTGTTTTATGAGATTTATGGAGCTATTTTTCTGGAGGAGCTTTATGGCCTTCCCTTGACTTTAATCACAACACATTCCTGGCAAACCTGAACTTTTTGTATTATTGGATACTTCAAACAGTGCACAATAAGGACTGGCAAGTTTGTTGGTCATTATCGTCCTTTAGGCAGCACACACAGATCATATCAGAGGCTCCAGAATGAGAAGCTTGACTTATGCCACACCAGCCCCAGTGGGGACAGTGTAGCAATGGCTGAGAAGAATCTAGAATGGCTACCTGTCCAGAGGTTCGCACCACACATGGTTATACCTCCTGGGAAGAAGTGGCCAGGTCCCTGCAGGTGCTTGCTTGGCTGGCTGATTGAAATGGATACTGGGTGTATTTTGTGCTATGATAACAATAATGCTTTTGATCATGGGTGGTTTGGGCTGTAGCTCCACTGTTAGTTCAGAAAAGCTTGGAGAACACTTAGATATAGTTTCAGGAACTGAAAAAAAAAATGCAGACTAGTGATCAGCAGATGTTGTCCTCTGTGCCCTCAGTTACAAAACCCACGGCACCAGTTGAGACTCCAGATGTCAGCCCAAGACCTGATAAATTAATAGAGTTGAAGCTGTAGGAACTTGCCCACAATGTGACCCTGCCTGAAAATAGCCCACCCGCAGCAAAGCTGCTGTGGGATTTACTACAAAACTCTAACTTGGGATCTTAGGGCCCCTGAAACAGTACTGTTAAAAGTTTACTGATCAGAGACAATGCCTATTCTCTAAAATCAGTAAAACAGTACAAGAGTTCTTATCAATGCTGTTAAAAGTTTATTGATCAGAGACAATGACTTTCTCTAAACTCAGTAAACCAAATCTCTGGTATGCTGACTACAGGCAGGCCAAAATAAAAAGAGGTTTCTGGTTATGCACTTAGATGTTTTTATGATCTCATGCTTCAAGGGAATTGCTGACATTTCTATAGACTGTCTGTAAATTTTTAAACTGTGGCCAAAGATCTGTTCCTTAAACTTTCTGCATAAAAACCCAATACTCTAAAGTAAAAATTGCAGCAGTTACAAACCTCCTCAAGTGTGTTTGTATCTGTCACACCGAAGCCACGCCTGACCTGGTCATCTGAGTTTTGGTCTCCAGGCAGACCCGTTGCCCACTGAGCAGTCTGCGGCAGACTTACTCTAAAAATAGCTTTTGTGTAATAATAAATTGCTTGTGCAGAGCTGCTTGGGGGTTCAGACCATTTGAGATGTTTTCCCTGCTGCTGCAAAGCTTCTTTGCAGCCTTGAATGTCTCAGTGGTCACAGTGGTGGCGTGTGAGCCCCCCCCAGGCACATATACCATGTTCTCATACCCTACACCAGACACCTGAGACTTGCAAAGTCCCTCTGAAATGTGGATGGCCACTCCTTCACATCTCTGAAATTCTCTTTGCAGGCATGAATGATGTCATAGGACGCTACCTGTCCTGTGTGTGTATCATATAGATAGGATAGCACATATTGATGAGGGTCATTCCAAGGGGAAAGGTCCTTTGAAATCAGGCCCCTCCCCATTTTTAAGTTGTATTTTATTATTTTTGTATATGTGTATTGTGTGCATATGCACATACAGGTATTTGCACGTGTGCTTGTGTGTGTAATTCAGAGGTTGATCTCTACTTGTTTTCAGTTGCTCACTTTATTTCTTTTATTACTTATTTCATTTATCTTTTTTATTTTTATTGTATTTATATTACTATCACCTATTTTTCAGAACTTTTTGTTGTTGTTTTTTGAGACAGGGTCTCTCTGTGCAGCCCTGGCTGTCATGGAACTCCCTCTGTAGACCATGCTGGTCTGAAACTCTCAGAGATCCTCCTTCCTCTGGGATCAAAGGAATGTGCCCCTACCAGCTGGCTCTTTATTTTTTGAGAGGTCGATGGTTGCTTAAACTGTGACTTGACTTTTGTGTGGGTGCTGGGATTCTGAACTCAGGTCCTCATGCTGGCACAGCACAGTCTTCAGCCACAGAGCATCTCTCTATCCTCTTACTATTTTTAGTAAAATATTTACATTTACAGAATAAAAACTAATGAGAGGTGAACCAAAATTTAAAAAAGCAGCTCAATGGAAACAACCAAATGTGTGGACCCAAATAAGCAATGTCTGGGAGTACATTTGCACAGCAATTCCTGACAGAACACAATCAGGGAACGTGATAAATTAATTTGCTGTATTTATTGATGGACTATGTGTTGGCATGCATGTACCACATGAAGTGTGTGGAGGTCAGAGGACAACTTTCAGAGGTTGGCTCTCTCCTCCCACCACATGGCTCTAGGGGAATGGGTCCTCAGACTTGGCAGCAAGTGCCTTTATTTACCAAACCCAGCCGTTAGATCAGAATCTATCATAAGTGGTCACATACTAGTCCAGTAAACCATGGCTTTGGTTTGAAATGTAGCATCGCTAATGTTTCCTGAGAGTTAGCTAGAGGGTCATTTTCTATTGAAAGGTATTTCCCCTCCTCTGATGGGTCCTTTCCCAGCACCCTCCCCAACTCCTGCTAGAAATGCATATATTACAAACCACAAGCTAAAAATCTGCATATGAACGGGTGGGTGGGAAGCTCCAGTGGTTAAGTGCAGTTGCTGTTTTTGCAGAGGACATGGGCTCCATACCTTGCACATGGTGGCTCAGAACTGCCTTGAACTCCAGCCCCAGGGGATTCACTGCTCAATTTTGACCTCTGCAGGTACCAGGCACACCAATGGTGAATATACATGTGTAGGCAAAACTCATCCAACTCCCAGAAAAATAAATTAAAAATCCACATAGGACAGAAAATGTGGCATTTGTTAAACTGCTTCAAATACTATTTTACAGTTGCTTCCATGTTCCTGCAGATTACATTTCATTTCTCTTTACAGCTGACTAATATTCCATTGTGCATATATCCCCCATTTTCATTCTTCACTCCGAAATTGCTGGCCTTTGTTCCATTTCCCGGCCTTCATGAATAGAACAGCGGATGTGCACATGTCTTTGCGGTAGGATAAGAAGTCCTTTGGCAATGTGCTCCTGAGAGGTACTACTTTCCCTACCTCAGAGCTGGGATTACAAGTGTGTACCACTATACCCAGCTTTTAAAATCTTTATGTGTACCGGTGTTTTGCTTACATGTAGGTCTGTGGGTCTAAATTTTATGTGAATTCTAAAAATTGAACTCAGGTCCTGATATTTGCATGGCAAGCATTTTACTGATTGAGCTCTCTCCAGCCCACTAAACTTGTATCATTTCACATAAAAAAAAAAAAAAAAAAAAAAAAGCTAGCACTAGGTTTGCCGGATTGTGTGCATGCTTCATGTGAGGGAGTGAGATTAACATTGCTTCATGCTCTTGCAGAAGATTTGAGTTTAGTTGCTAGTACCCATTTTCAATGTCTCACAACTGCCTGTAATTCCGGACGCAGAGGACTGACTGGAACCTTTCGGAACCCTTGGGTACTAGCACACACCTGAGTGCATACACAAGCAACATTGCCATCTATCTGTCTAGCTCCTCCATCTTCTTACACCTTCTTTGACAGCATACTAGATGAAACATTTTGGAAGGGAGTTGTTGGAAAAGTCTAACTTTTTGTAAGTTCTCACATATCATTGTGAAATTGCAATTCTTACGATGACTAAAGTTTCCTACATTAATAGAGTTGGTTAGATGCCTCAGCCAGTAGGATCACTTGTGTCCAGGCCTGGCGACCCCAGAGAATCCCTGGGGCCCATCTGGTAGAACTGACTCCTACAACCTTGACCTCCACATGCATGCTGTGGTGCATACACTATCAGACACACACAGCAGGTACCTGTTTACAGACACTTCAACTCCGCAAATTGAAAGCCCCCTCCCTCATACCATTGCCTACATCTTGTGCAAGTTAAATTGCCAGCAAACTACCACAGAAGCACCAAGGGCTGGTTCTGGAATGCCCACACCAAAGTCATTCCATTCAGAAAATTCATTGCACTTTGAATTACAGTATCCTCTTGAGCTTAAGTGAAACCCAGTCATTTAACATGTTTGCAATGCTGGGGAACAGAGAGCAGGGCCACAAAGACACTCAATGGCTCCCACAAGGAGAGTCAGTTTTCAAAGCAACACCGATGAATGGCAGTGTTGGAGTCAATGATGCACACCTGAGACGTCATTACACCCAAGTGAAAACATTCCCCAGGAACAGAGTACTGGAGAGAGAACACAGAACCATCTATAAGATCAGTTCGAGGGGATCCAAGGCCCTCTTCTGGACTCTGAAGGTACCTGAACTCACACTGTCATACTGCTCCTTCACCCCCAATAACAGATGTGATAAGCATGAAAAGTGGTTCTACTTTATAGTACAAATGACTGAGTAAACTTTGTGCTGGAAAAAGACATTTTTTATTAGAAAACAAATATGGAATACATAAATGATAGGGTACAGCCATAACTAGCTGAGGCATATAACAAAATCTGGACATTTACAAAGTCATCTTTTTATTGGTCCATTAATCACAAAATCACTGAAAAACTGTTGATTAAACATGTATAACTAAACCAAAATACCAACAGAAGGCCCGTCTTGAAACACAAACAAACCAAAAAAAAAAAAAAAGAATTGGAAATCCACAGTATACTGACACTATCAGTGAGCTACTGAGAAAGACCTCAGGACACTATCAGAATTGTGGCTTCTGGGGAGCATTGGAATCAGCAGGTTTTATGAGATTTGGGGGTTTGGAAATGTTAACATTGGAAGAATCCAAGTACTCCTCCATTTACAGAGTCTGGGTCTGCAGTAGAGCTTATTGAAGACTTTCCCACACTGCTGACATTCAAGACAAGAATTTCCCATACAGCTAACAGGGATAGATTTCTTCCCTCGTGTGCTAACAAGGATGGGCAAAAAGCTTTCAGTTAGTATTCATTTCCACCAAGTTCTCAGTGCCAAAATACTTCCTCACAATGCTTTCCACTTACAGGGCTGACATAAACTACGGCACACACTTCTGAAACCAATGCAGACTTTCCAACACATACTATACTCATAGGCTCATTCTTACCTATGAGGAACTTGAATGTGTGGAGCTCTTCTACTTATACTCAATCCCTTCTAACTCATACTTGCCATCCACCAAGTGACTGTGTATATTCATGTGTCTACGAAGACTTTTGGAGTAAGAGAATGCCCTACCACATTCTTCACATTTATAGGACTGTCTATTGTGTGTTCTCATGTGATTCTGCATGTAACTTGAACAGCTGAAGGCTTTCCCACACTCCTTACATTCATATGGCTTCTCTCCAGTGTGAGTGGTCAAATGGTTTCGTAAGGAAGCAACATATTTAAAGGCTCTCCCACACTGTGTACATTCATGAAGTTTCTCTTTGGCATGGGATTTTTCATGGTTTCGAAGTGAATAAACATAAGGGTAAGCTTTTCCACATACCTCACATTTGTAAGGCCAGGCTCCACTGTGTGTCCCTAAATGTCTTCTTGCACAATGGCCAGAAGTAAAGGTCTTTCCGCACTGCTTACATTCATAGGGTTTCTCTCCAGTATGAATTCTCTTATGTGCTTGAACATGGCTGGAATGTCTGAAGGTTTTCCCACACTGCTTACATTCGTAAGGCTTCTCCCCAGTGTGACTTCTTTTGTGTAGTTGAAAGGAACAGTAACTCTTGAACGTCTTCCCACAGTGTTTACATTCATAAAGTTTTTCTGTTGTATGAAGCCTCTTATGGACCTCAAGGGAACTGGAAGTCCAGAACATTCTCCCACAGTCCTTACATTTAGGTATCTCTTCAGAGTGAATGATTTTATGTGCCCGAAGGGCTTCAGCACTAGGACATGTTTCCCCACACACCTTGCATTTATGCCTGTCTGCACTGTGAGTTAGCATGTGCCTTTCAGCACAGTAGCGATAACTAAATGCTTTCTCACAATGCAAACATTTGTAAGGTTTCTCTCCAGTGTGGAGCTTTTCATGGTTTTTAAGGGAGATAGGACACATAAAGATTTTACCACATGCTTTGCATTCACAGTATTTCTTTACATACTTCTGGTAGTCACATGGTCTTTGTTTAGAGTTGAATGTAACGTGCCTCTTTAGGGATAACTGACTGATGTGATGTGCAGAAAGTGTGGGTTCAGGTGTTTTGTTGGTGATACCAAAGGGATTCTGGGCTACAGATTCTCTACGCTGGCCATTGTCTGTAAGTTCACGGTCTCTCTTTATCACTTGGATTCTGTAAAAAATAAGAAATACAACCTTAAGAGTTTGCTCATTAACAATTGCATACTAACTAGTGGGTGAGATTTACGTTGGGAACATTCATGCCCCAAAGTGTGGGCAGACAAGAAAGTATGGAAAGGAGGTAAAATCCCGAGTGAATGTATATTGCTGACATGGGCACAGCCAGGTGAATGACAATGGCAAATCATTCAGTCTGAGTGTGTGCAGAGACTAGCAGCTGAAGCTTCCTCTAGACACCCACAGAGACTAGCTCTGGGGGCAATAAAGCACACAGGTTCTAAGATGTTGCAAAGCTAGTGTCACTCTACCTGACCCCAGTTTTCACATAGGCAGATTCAAGGGTCTGTTAAGATGGCTAGGCCATAGCTTCTGTCATTACGATCTAGTTATTACCTTAAAATTTTTACTATATATATATATTTTGTGTGTGTGTGGGGGTTCAAGGCAGGGTTTCTCTGTATTGCTTTGGAGCCTGTCCTCGAACTAGCTCTGTAGACCATGCTGGCCTAGAACTCACAGAGATCCACCCGCCTCTGCTCGGTACCAGCTGGAATGTCTTAATACTGCTTTTATATAAAGTATTTTTGCAAACCTGAAATATCCATAGTTTCACAAGCATCCATTTTCAGAGCTTAGGGAGATTGATTTTAAAAGAATGTTCTTAAAAGAATGAAGTTTGAATTTGTGCTCTTTTTAATATTTTCCTGACATCCAATGGTTTTCTTGAGGGACACAGCTATTCCTTTGTGGACATTCATTACCTGAGATTTCTCTTTAGACTTCTGTAGTAAGCTTCTAAATCCCACTGTTCCCATTCTGTTTCTAAAATATAGACACAGAACAATTAAAAAAAAAAAAAAAAGTATCACATAATCATTAGATGCTTAGTGCAAGAGGTCAGGCTTGGCTGACTGACCGCACCCATCTTCATTCTGATTCAGCACTCAACAAAGCAACAGACTCACCTATGGAAGTCAGGTTCCTGTAGGTTTCCTGCATCACATCTCTGTAAAGATTCTTCTGGACAATGTCCAGCAAGGCCCACTCTTCCTCACTGAAGTTCACGGCCACATCCTCAAAGGTCACTGTTTCCTGAAATAAATGGGAATGTCACTACTAAGGAGATAAGCAGCTGAAGGGTTTTATTCTTGATACCAGGCTGAGAGGATAATGCTTCAATCAGTTCTAGGACTTGTAATCAGACCAACTGTGTACATTTCCTCCCACATTGCAACTGTGATTTCAAGCAACAGTGTTCTAGTTTGATTTCTGTTGCTTTGATGAGACACTCTGACCAAAAGCAACTGGTGAAGAAAGAATATGTTGTTGTTTGAATGAGAATGCCCCCACTGACTCATATACTTCAATGTTAGAACTTTTTAGGAAGCATTCAGGCATGTCCTTGTTGGAAGTGTGCCACTGGGGGTGGGCTTTTAAAGCACATGCCATTCCCAGTGTGCTGTTTTGTTTCATGCTTGTAGCTCTCAGCTACAACTCCAGTACTATGTCTGCCTGCCTGTCTGATACCATGCTACCTGCAATGATGGTCACAGACTCACCCTATGAAAATCTGTAAGCAAGCCCTTAATTAAGTCCATCCTTCCTTCCTGTCTTTGTTAGGCTCAAGGGCCTCTTCCATCCTTGTCAAGGGAGTGCTAGCCCTCTCTCCTTTCATAATACACAAGTGCTTTCTGTATAAGTTGCCTTAATCACTGTGTCTCTTCACAGTAACAGAAAAGTAACTGAGATAGAATTTACTTGACTTGTACTTCCAGGTCACAGACTCAAGCAGGATTTTCGGACAGAAACTATGGAGGAACACTGCTAGCTCAGAAGACTCTAAGCTGGTCAAGTTGACAGTTACAGCTAATTAGGACAGATACATAGAAGGGGCAGCCTCTCATCGGCAAGTACAAGCAATGACATATATAGTGTGGATTACTCCAAACATTAAAAAACAAACAAACAAACAAACAAACAAACAAACTGTGTGTGTGTATGTATGTATGTATGTATGTATGTATGTACTGGGGATACAAAGTGGAGGTCAGAGAATGGGGAACCATGGAGTTGGCCTGGCCTAGCTGCCTTGAGAGACATGCATCATAGTTTTTTCAGGTTATAGCCCATGGCTCCTGGGGCAAATGCACCTCTCAGTTCCTCAGAAAGCAATGCACTTCCTTCCTCAGGGAGTGAAGTGTTCAGACTGCTTTGCGTTTCTCTGTATGTTCCCTTAGACGTCAATGAAGCATGGAAGTATGACAGGACAATTGGTCTTACACATTCACCTTTATATTGATCCTGGCAATTACCACTATAGCTTGCTTCTGATAAAGGTATAAAAAGACCGCTCTCAATAAAATAGTCACAGCCTCAGTCACGCTGTGGCCTCTTCAACCAGCCTAGTTTAATTTCTTATGGTCATATCAGGTGACCTTGGCCTGGTAAGTAAGCTTGCAGTTAATACCAGGAACAGGAACCAGAAATATGGGTATTCAAAGGGTGGTGGTAGTACACGCCTTTAATCCCAATGACATTCAGGAGGCAGAGGCAGGCAGATCTCTGTGAGTTTGAGGCCAGCCTGGTCTACAGAGCAAGTTCCAGGACAGACTACAAAGCTACACAGAGAAACCCTGTCTGAAAAACAACAACAAAAGGGTATTCAAGAAAAAAATGTCAAATGTGAGGAATCCTGGGAATCATGTATGAACAGTATAAAAAGACAGGGGTATTCATTCATTGGTGGAACATGCAGGATTGAAGGATCAACATTTGTTGTTGAACTTTGTTGTTGGAGGAAGGAGTTAAATAAAATGTAGTGCAAAATCAGTTGATGGGCTGGGTGGTGCTCGCCTTTATTCCCAGCACTTGGAAGGCAGAGTCAGGTGGAGCTCTATGAGTTCGAGACCAGCCAGGTCTACAAGAGCCAGTTCCAGGATAGCCTCTAAAACCAGAGAAACCCTGTCTTGAAAAACAAAACAAAACAAACAGTTGATGGGCCAGGTGGTGGTGGTACTTGCCTTTATTCCCAGCACTCGGGAGTCAGAGGCAGGCAGATCTAGAGGCTAGCCTGGTCTACAAAAGATAGTTCTAGGACAGGTTCCAAATCAATACAGAGAAACCTTGTCTTGAAAAAACAAACAAGAAAAATCAGTTGATGAAATCCTGGAGTTCATAGTGAACTTCAGCCTTCTCCCTCCAAAGACATTCCTTAGATCCCAGACAGTGGTCCCAGTTACAAAGAGGAATTCTGGGAGAATTAGGTACAAAGGGACCAGAGAAAATGCCTAGAGATGGTTTTCCGCTTTGGAAAGAAATAACAGTAATAGATAAAAATGACAGTTAAAGTTAAAAATGGAAGTGATCAGAAAAAGTCTACTAAGACAGGGATAAGAAAATTCAGAGTCTGAAGATACAGGGTCCAGTGCCTGTCTGTGAGGAGCTTGAGGGGTTTCCTCCTCTATGTGCTGAGTTTGCTCCACTACCTCCGGCTCCAATTTCCTGTTCCCCTAACCCATTATGTGTAGTTCCTCATAGCATGGAAGCTTCTTTTCGTAACTGCCTCACTTCATCTGTTACTGAAGTTGTTGGGGAGGTTCCTCATCCTCCATAAGAGAATTAACTCCCAAGTCAGGATGCATTGTGTCCAAGACACAGAAGACACAAAGGATTTTGTTTTCCCAGTAGAGCGAAAGAAAAGCCTGATCCTAGTTAACTCAGGACAAGTTAGGAATTGTATATCCATTTTCATTGAAGACTTAAGTTTTAAGCAAGCCTGTGTGTGGTCAGTACAGACCACACACTCCCTTCACAATGTCTCTCCTTGATTCGGTTTCTGGGGAAGCTATTCTTTCCTTTGACTGGAGGATCTTAGCAAAAATCTGTTCACATTTTTGCCAGGCAGTAGTGACATACACCTTTAATCCCAGCACTTGGGAGGCAGAGGCAGGCAGATCTCGGAGTTTGAGGCCAGCCTGGTCTAAGAGTGAGTGCTAGCATAGGCTCCAAAAGCTAGAGAAATCCTGTCTCAAAAAACCAAAAACCATTTTATTTTCTTATAGCTTTTGAAGTTTTACATGGAATAATCTAATTTGCTACATTCAGTTTAATTAATAATCTTTATGTCCTTAGCCTCAAGTTCTTTGTGTGTGTGTGTGTATTTTGGGGGGGGGCAGTTTCAAGACAGGGTTTCTCTGTGTAGCCCTGGCTGTCCTCCACCTCCTGAGTGCTGGCTCTAAAGGTGCCATCAATCACCACCTGGCTTACATGTGTTTTATAAAAGCCAGGTAGTAGCCTCACTGATGATAATGTGAATAAAGATAGTGAAGAGGTTTGCACAGGGCCCTTTTTATGTGACAAAAATGGGGGGGGGACTAAATGTGATGTTTCCAGTTTACTGAGTACAAAGCCAGGATTTATTCATAGTTTAAATTTTTTTACTTGTATGTGTCTGTTTCATATGTATGAACATGTGGAGGTCAGGATACCACTTTTTCCTCATACTGGGCCACTTTGCTCAGCCTTAATATAAGGCAAGGTGCTTAATCTTGGTGCAACTTGATACACCATGTTTTGTTGCTATCCATTAGAGGATTGCCCTTTTCTGAATAGAAATGGAGGACAGGATTGAGGGTGGGGCACTGGGAGAGGAGGAAGGGGAAACTGGATAGAATGTAAAACAAAGGAACTCAGATGGTACATTTATTTAAAAAATTAAAGATTTAAATGGTTATGTAAACACTAACTGCTCTGTTTACTTATTCAAGACTGAGACAATTAGGAAAGCTTTACTCAACTCTACTATTTTCTCAGTACAGAATTAATAAGACAATATTAGCACTTGGGAGGCAGAGGCAGGTGGATCTCCATGAGTTTGAGGCCAGCCTGGTCTACAGAGTGAGTTCCAGGACAGGCTCCTAAGCAATACTGAGAAACCCTGTCTCAAAAACCAAAGACATCTTTTCTAGTTTTGCTACTTTTTACACTAGTCTAGGAGAAATGATGGCAATGTGCTTAATTTCAAAGGAGACTTACTAACATTTTAATTCCGCAGGGCCAGTGAGATTGACTTCAGTTCAATCCCTAGTTGGAAGGAAAAACAACTGCAAAAGTTTGTCTTACTGGGGGTGAATATTTACTGTGGCAGACTGACTTATTCAGATGTCAAAGAAATTGACACCTTAGAAATCAAAAGAATAGGGCTGGAAGGGATGGCTCAGAGGTTAAAAGCACTGGCTGCTCTTCTAGGTCATGAATTCAATTCCCTCACAACCATCTATAATTTGATCTGGTGCCTTCTTCTGGCATGTAGGCAGAACAGTATACATAATAAATAAATCTTAAAAAATAAAAGAAAGAAATCAACAGAATAAGGTACCTGTAGCTTGAGATGTCACCAGGAGAAGACATGTACAGTGATGCCCAGGGACAGCACAGGTAGGTTAGGGTTAGCCTTACAGAAAATCAGCACTGATGCTGTAAGCATGGTATAAGCTTCCAGATTCTAGAAGAAAGACAGAGGAGCTTTCTAAAACTAGAGAGGGTCCTGATGAGACAGACATAGCAAGACTCTGCTTCTTATCTCTTCCGGTAGATCAACCTGTGGTTGATGGGGGTTGGCACAGGAATGGCTATTGTTAAGCAACTGGCATGAGGACGCTAGCCCTGCAAGCCACAGTGCCATCTGTCCCCTTCGAAAGAAAGGAGTCTGTTCTGATACATGCTCTCTGGCTGTGTGGCCCTGGAAGGGCAAGTGGTCCTCAACTATTGGCAGTCACTCTGTATAACAAGAAAAAGAATGAGAAGTGACCAACAGTCCAAATTTAGGTCAAAAAATTTGTTACTGTGTAGCTTTGGAGCTTGTCCTGGAATGCCTTTGCTCTGTAGAGCAGGCTGGCCTCAAACTCAGAGATCCACCTGCCTCAGCCTCTGAGTGCTGGGATTAAAGGTGTGTGCCACCACAACCTGGCTTGTTACTACTGCTTTAAAGAGCTTTAAAAAAATTGTTTCTTCTTGCTTTTATTATACATCATGTGGATTTTGGTTTCTGTCAAAAATAATAAAATGCTAAAAGAACCCTCTACAAAAATTGG